TTTGGCCTAAAGCAGGATTTCTATGTGGTAAAATGATGTCAAATGAGATGCTGAAACAGTAAACCTAAGAACATGGTATCTAATGCATGACATGCTTTGAATGTGTTGGTCTTACACATGGATTCTAATGCGCATATAGGAAATGTAAACCTAAGGCATGGTTTCTACCCATTGATGTTGATAACATATATAACTACCCTCCCCTTTTCACTAGCCAACCCCAATATTTGTTTACAACAGATTATTAAAGACCAACATTGAAATGAGTTACATAAGTAGAAAAGAAAATAAGAAGTTACACTATAGAGAGCCTGAAAACAGGCCCAGATTTCCAGAACCTGATTAGGACTTCCTCTCTGAGTTATGTAATAAATCTAACTCCAACACCTCAAATACCAAGATATTTTCATAGCTTTTCCTTATATCCGGGTGTGTTAGAGTTCCCTAAGGACCTCAAGGGATCCCGGACAGTGCTCACACCCAGATTTCATAGCCGAGATAGAGTAAGTGCAGTGTGGAAAGGCCAGCTTTTGTGTGTCCAAGTTTAGAGGGAGCTCAAGGGTCCCCAGGCAAGGCTCACACAAAAGGGGCAGAACTTATTAACTAGGAGTAGAGTGAAAGTGCAGGACACATGTTTGAAAGAAGTTTGTTAAAAAACTGGACTGAAAGGTCCATTTTGAAAGCAATTAGTAACACAGATGGTTGAAAGAAGTTGGATTTGTAAAAAAAAAGTTCAAACACTTCAGAGTAAGACCACACACAGTAAGTGAACGAATTCAGTAATCACACATGGGTTAAGGGGGTTTGGGGATGCATATACATTGACTGCAGACATCTGACCCCAGCAGGAGTATAAGGACTGGTATGGACATGCTCAGAGATAGTTGGACACTGGCATAATCACAAACCAATCATGAACACATAGAGGAGGGATAGGGGATTTGGGATTCACAAAGTGGTAAGTGCACAGTAGGTAAAAGAATACAACTGTCCAGGCATGCTTGAATCACACAAAGGGAATACATGAATTTAAAGGGAGGGGAATCATATCGGCATGCTTAGATACAGACTTCACAACAAAACCACAAGTAAAAGCAGACTAGAAATAAAAGAAACTGAAGCAGGAATAGAAACATGTTGTTGTTGAGACTTTAAATTAAACTAGGACATACCAAGGTTTGTAGATGATTAGCCTTGGCTTGCAGCCGGCTAATAGTAGTAGAATAACACCGAATTTTTTAAGTAAGAGAGGGGTTTTTGAAAGCCAAGTCCCGTGTCTTGTTAATAAAAGACTTAGGGTATTTATAGCTTTGAAAATAGGTAGAAAATAAGGTAACAAGGTTTAGCACAATTATGGAAGTAATCAGAATTAGAATCCAATTAATACAAGTACTCCCCTTTAATCAAGGAATTACAGCTTAAACGGATACCAACAGGGGTAACCAAGGAAAGAAAATCAGTTGAGAAAGACTGGTTTTTACCATATAAGGGGTAGTAAAAGTATAGAGCATATGATTGAGTCTAAGTACAGAATACACTAATTAAGGAAAGGATTCAGCAAGAATGAAGCACCACCACAAATAAGGAAATTGAATCAATCAACTTAAACAACCGAGTAAAATTTTAGGGTTTTATAAGAAAATCTTGCAATCGAATCATAAATTAAGGAAATCAGGATCAATCAAGCGGGAGTCATGATTCTGTACTTCAACATATAAATAGAGAAGAATGAACAGGTGTAGCAGACACGCAAGGTCAGCCAGATGGACACAATCATACAAAAGTGACATGAGTAGGCTAAGGACTCAATAGAAAAACCCATTCGAAGCATGGTAACCAACATAAACTTAACAAAGTCAAGTAGTCATGGCTAACACACAGAACCAGAGTGAAGAAAACCAATCTAACACACAGAATCAGGTAAAGAAGATCAGGCCAACACACAGAAACAAGTAAAGAAAATCTTTAGAACTCACAGTAACAAGTGAAGAAAATCTTTAAGAAATTAGGGTTTTTTAACAGAGTTGAGTTAAAAAGCAGTAAGAACTTAGAATTGGTCAAGATAAACAAAGAAAAAGGTTTAATCATAAAGAAATCAGTCGAAACAGGTATAGAAAGAACCCCGAAAACCCTACTTTCTCAAAGGGAGTAAGAATGGTTTAAAGTAGAAGATCTTTCAGAAGAAAGCTCGAGAATAAGCAAGTCACAGAAGGAGATAGGCTTAAAGCATAAAAAATAACATAGATCTGGGAGATTCAGAAGAGAGTTAGGGTTTCAAAAAGAAAATCAAGTAAAAAAAATTAAAGGAACCTGTTGAAACTTCACCGATCGTGACAAATAAGGTGTGATTTTGCCCAAAATCACACCGGAGACCCATAAGTAACAGGAACAGAAACCCTAGGTCCAAATCGACATGGCCTAGGACCCTTGAGGGCCTTAGAGATGATGAGCAGGGTGATGAGAGACCCATTGGAGGCTTGGGTTTGAAAGGGTGGTCGCCGGAGATGACCGGAGAAGGAGGCAGTGAAAAGTGATTAGGGTTAGGTCGAGAGAGAAGAGAGGCGAGAGCATCTGAGGGCAACACCCTTAGAAAAGTGATTAGGGTTAGGGTGGTCTCTCAGAATTAATAAGGAAAGGTTCAACGAGGGCCGTTGATCTAAGATATCTACGGCCAGGATTTAGGATGGCTTGGGTCGGGTAGACGTGTATAGGATCTGGGTTGGGTGGTTTGGGTGTGAAATTGGGCTGGAAAGGGGTCCAATTTTGGCTATAATTGAAAGCCAAATTTGGCTGTTATTTAAATAGCCAATTTCACCTATTTAATATATAAAAATTAACAGGCAATTCCTGAAAAATAAATTTAAGGTGCCAAAATGATTTGAAATACATAATTAGCAAATTAAAAATACGAGATCCAATTTTATGCATATAAAACATAATTAACTCTTAAAGGGCTAATATTGCAATTATGTGCAATTTAGCTTTAAAAATACTAAATATAATTGTAAAAATATATAAAATTACCTTAGCCATATTTTTGCTTAAATATAGAAATTAAATGATGAATCATCAAAACGATAATTTTGAAAACAATTATTGGGGATTTTATGGATGAAAAAGGGAGAAAATAATTCAATTTAATCCCTTTTAGTTCTAGAAAAATAATAAAAACCTTGGACATGCTTATATATGCAAATATATGCTATTTTAAAGGTAGTTATACATATTTAAAATATACAGGAGAAATTGGGTATCAACAGCTGCCCCTCTTTACCCGGGAAGGATGAAAGATTTTACGGGTAAAGACATGATGGCCAATTTTGACCGGACGGGATGTTTTGAAAGACAGTGGCCGAGCTCCGATTTTCGAGTTGCCTACATATCCCTGGTCTTATAGGAATCAGGTGTAGTTCTGGATTCACCTGCGGAGTATGCCGATGAAATTTTATAAGAACAGACACGAGATGTGGAAGCGGTTACGGTGAGCATTTAAGGCTCGGGACGGTTGGAGGGAACTAGAGCGGGATCGCTCCTGCTGCGATAGCCGTTGGTCACTGGCTTACCTGCAAATAGAAGCAATACAAGTGTATACTGTGCATAAATTTAAACATGATGCAAATTCCCGTTGGACCACGAATGTTGTCTTCGGACGATGAGGATGATGTCCTTAGGCCATGATGTCATGGGCCATGAAGCGTATGATAAGGGATTTGCAGGCCACGAAATGATGTTCTCGGTCTATGAGGATGGTTCCTCCTGATAAGTTAGGATTTTAACGTGTTTTATGCCCCTACTTGCCTATGCTTTAAGTATAAATTGCTACAAAATAGCCCTGAAATGCTCACAGGTTGTGCTTGATTGCAGGTTTGGTCGACAAAGTGACGAAATATCAAAGATCGGCCCAAAAAGGAGTGAAACCTGCTCAAGTGTCAAAGACTAAGTAAGTTGAGGAATAGAGAACCTAGTGCGGACCGCGCAAATGTGAATGCGGCCGCACTTGGAGATTCAGAGGATGGAAGTTTCAAGCTGAAGGCAACACGGCCGCGGTTGGATTCTCGCGGTCCGCGGTCAGGCTCCGCGGCCGCGCTACTCTTTTACGCGGTCCGCAGAGCAGAGATTCAGAGAGCCACAATTTTGCCAATTCCAAGCAATGCGACCCGCGCTCGTTTCAGTGCGGCCGCGCCAACTTCCACCGTGGCCGCGCTACATTTTCACGCGGTCCGCGGTCCTCAACTTCAGACAAGCAGAAACCAGGAGTTCAAGAGCCAGTGCAGCCGCGGTCCTGTTTGAGCGGTCCACGCTGACCCCGCAGGGGTATTTTTGTCCAGTTTTTCCAGCCTAGTATAAATAGGACCTTTTACCATTTTAAGGTTAAGTTTTAGATTCTGAACGCAGCTGAGCTCCTGAGACTCGATATTGTAGCCATTTTTAGCACTTTTGCTCATTATTATTGTAGTTTCTTCTTAGCAATTAATTAATATGCTTAGTTCTTCATCTATTTCTTCAATTTTTGTATCTAGCATGAGTAGCTAAACCCATTAGCTAGCATTACTAGAAACTGGAGCTATGACAACGCTTTTTATTGCCACGGTTCTGTAACTGTTGCTATAGATGGTCTGTTGCAACGGTTTCCACCGTTGCGTAAGGTAGTTGATACTATTGGTACAGTTTAGCCCCTAAACCGTTGCAGTAGTCTAAAAACTGTTACAGTAGATTTTTTATGGCAACGGTTTTGGACAACCGTAACAATAAGTTTATCTATGGTAACGGGTATTTGCAATTTTAATGTAGGGCAACGGTTACGAATTCCCTCTATAATTTCCCCCAAATTTTGGACGGCCCGCCAAAAGATATATAGACCCGCTTCTATATTTTATATATATATATATATATATATATATATATATATATGTTATATTTAATATCTAATAAAATAATAAAACCTAATAATATACCTATACACACGGAGATTACGAGACAAACACCATTTCTTCCAAATGTTCCGACCTGTCTCTCCCAAAAACCTTCATCTGTTCGCCGAAGATTACGAGGAAGAGGAACCACCATCTGCTCCCTATCATTTAGATTCGAATCTGTAGTAAGTCACTAATTTGGTGAGAAGTTGGAATTCTCCAGATCTTCAGAAGTTGTATGTCTTCTTAGAGCTTACATCCTCTGGCCACAAGTTTTGTTTTAATCTTCATACTTAGATATTCCATTTTAAGATCCATTTTTCTCCATTTGTTGGGTAATGCATCTCGAAAATTGGTTGAGTACAAATTTCTAGGTTGCTCAGCATTCTAATTTGGTAGATATCACGTTTCTGAGTAATTTGGGGAAAAAGTGTAAATTAGTCAGTTGTCTGGATGTTAATACATGATTCATTTTGACTTGCAATCAGAGAGTTGTCTATGATTTTAAGTTAGTGACAGCATAGTGGCACTGTACTCACTGATCCTTTCTGACTGAGTCTGGGCTGGGCTATGTGTGTGTTGTGTGTGAAATGTGTGATATGTATGCAATGTCTGTGTTTATGTATGTATGTACGTCAAGATAGCTCTGGATAACTTGTGCAATTTTATCTAGATATCTGTTAGAAATTCTGCCAAACTGCAGATACTTATAATAATGTTGATAGCTCTCTTTCCTATTTTCCTCTCCATTTTTAGCTTATCGGATCAATATTAACTGATTTGGGTAATTACATTTTATATTTATCAAAATTTATCCTCCCATATATTTGAATCTTTGTTAGTTTTCCATGAAAGATGAAGTGTTATACATTAAATAAGTATTTACAATTCCAATCTACTAAAATTCTCTAAAAGACTACTTGTATCTGGTAGTAAGTATAATGTATCAAGATTTAGGCTTCAACCACTCTCCTTCGAGGAGATTTTACTCTGTGTACATGTTCTTCTCCTATGCATTTATCTAACTTAACAATCCAATCTCCTTTATTTTCCATCCCCTAAGCCGTAACCTTTTTCGCCTTTGCACTAATTCTGGACAGCAGCAGCCCTTCTCCTACGACGCGTCCTCATGTTTGTTGAGCTGCTGCCACCAGTGCAAGGGTGGTGGAGTCTGCAACATTTGCACAAGAAACTACCATAAGTTGTACATTATTTTCTACTGTGAGCGCGGAGATGAACTCTGCTCCGTTGGGCAGCAACTAAAAGTTGAAATCTAGGTTGTTTCTGATAAGTTTTCTGCAGCAATTTTGGCAGCAAATCTGCACGGGTGAACTCTCAGGTTAGCTATTTTTTGGTTTAAATGTTCCTCTGTTATTGGCCACCGTCTTAGCATTTTCGGTTTGCAAAGCTAAATCTCATTCTCAAATTCCCTATTCTTCATCTATTGTTCTTCCCCAATTGTTTCCAATTCAGTTCATTCGATGTCAAAGGAACGGGGCCGTTCCCTTCAGCTATTCTTACTCTCGGAGTTTGGTGAAAGCGAAGGAACCTTTGAGAAATACTAGGATATGGTCCGCCACTGAGGAAGAAGATGCCACTGTTGTTGTCGATGAAGCATCTGCTGCTGCGACAACTACCATTGATCAGATTGTTTCTGTTTTCGTCTCTCCTTCCGATGTCCTCACCATGTTCTTTCAGGTTTAACCTTCTGACCTTACTTCTAGTACTTTTCATTTTCTATTTTTAGTTTGTAAAATGTTGGCGTGAGCTGAATTTAAATAGTGGACATTGGTCAGTGAGGATTCATATAACAGATTCCAACTTGTTTGGTATGACATGGTTTCAGAGAAGAATCCATATAAATGATTCATATAGGAGGAGGGGTGCAGGTGCAGTAGGTTGGTGCTTATTGTAAGAATAGTTAGTTTATGATGAATTCTGGTAGTAATGTCTATGAATTTTTTGGTCGTATTCATATTGGCATTGGTTGGAGTTGTATTGTTCTTGTTGATTGTCGGATCATTTTATTACAGCATCAGCTCTAACTCATTTTTGTACTGTTGCTGCCCAGATTTTAGTGTTATTACATTTTGCATCATAGTACCACCTAAAATCGAAGGGCTGCAATTTTTTGGTATTGGTGGTGAGCTTCAATTTTTTGTTATTGGTAATGAGCCTACTGAACGTAATTCATCATATGCACTATCTTGAACATCAGTTGATAACACTAGATTCCCAAATTCACCTTCAACTTCACCACACGACTCCTCTGATTGTGATGGAATTTCAAACACAGAGGTATTTAGAGTAAACAAAGGTTGCTTGATTAAAGTTGGATTCAACATCATTGCTTTTTGTGCTTCCTTGATAATTTCTTCTATGTGTGGACTTGAAAATTGCAGAGTAGGTGCATTTGAACTATGTGCTTGTGCAGCATATTGTGTACCTATATTATCAAAGTTAGATGCAGGTCGAGGACTTCTAGTTTCCAGATTTGCAAATGTTTGCAATGGAACAGTTGCTTCCCCTGAATTTCCTGTAGCAGTCACTTTATTCAAGGCATCAGATCCCTCCAATTGTTGCTCATCATCATGCTTAATAGCAGTCATATTGTTCTCAGGTAACACAACAACTGTTGCTTTACTCACTGCATTGTAAATTATTGCCAAAGCTCTTGTAGCAGGAATATCTTCTGAAAATTTGTTTTTTTCCATATCAGGAGCTACATTAGTTTTGTTTAACATATGCAAATCTTGCCCAACTGAAAATTTGCTTGACAAGTTTGTCAGCTGTATAGCTCGACCCCCAACTGCATTGTGTGCAAAATTAGTCTCCAGCCTTGAAACAGTAGTATGTCGATCCGTTTTTTGTCTATCACCTAGAGCCTTCAAAACTCCAATTGAATCTCGATCACACACATAATTTTTAGAAGCCTTCAAATCTTGTGAGATCCCACCAACATCTGCTGCATTAAGATCATTCAATGTAGCAGTAGAACCTGGGGCGAAATTCACACCAGATTCCATAATCTGCTCAGCAGCTGGACCTTCAAGCATTCCAGCAGAACCTCGAGCAGCAGCAGGATTTTTAGCCTTCCCAGCCTGTTCATTACCTGTTTGACCAACCAGTGCCTGACCACCAGATGCACCAACATTAGACATTGCATTATTCAAGCCATTTCTTTTTAGTTTTGGATCAGATTCCCTAATCCCTTGTACAACTGCTGAATTAGGTTCAAAAAGTGCAACAACTCGATCTGCATTTGTTTTCAATGCAGTAGTAGCTTGATTCTTGGCATTGGTTGCTCGAGCAACAGTAGATTTAGCCACCCCAGCATCATTTCGATCTCCAGCTGTCATAGCAACAATAGCAGTTGCAGAAACTACCGCCCCTGCACTTATCTTATCTTGCCTCACAACATTTTGATCACCATGTTCAAACAGACTTGCTTTTGCTGCTTCATCTTCCAGCTGCCCAGCCTTTTTTGCATTAAGAAAATCCCTGGCATCACCTTGTATTTTGTCCAGATTGCCCAGGCCTTCACTTTCATCCACAACGAGTACATCTTCCTTATTTTCCATAGTCTTCCAACGACATGATCTTTCATCTTGCCCTTGATGCTTACAACAAGTACAAAATTTTGGAAGATTATCATAAACTATATCCTGATAATGCTCAACAACTTTCCCAGAATTCCTTCCCCTAATATGAATTTTAATTCTCTTAGGATGCTTGTCCAGTAAATCGAGCAAGACCTTAACTCTTGCCGTACTTGGTCGAGTTCGATCTTGCGTTGCTTTGTCGACTGCTAAAGGCTTTCCAACTGCTGAAGCAATGGACATTAATGATTTTTTGGCAAAGAAATTTGCAGGAAGATCAGGCATTGAAATCCATACGACTGCCCTGGATGAAACCATTCGTACTCTCATAACTCAAGTTGGATATGTTTCTTCACGTGGATTAAATCCCATCGTCCATGGAAAGGATCTAAAGAAGAATTCATCTCCCTTTGACTTTAAATAACCCATGGACCTTGACAAAGCCTGAACAAAATCTTCAAAGAGATCAAACCTTACCAAGATGTGTCGATATTCAAGCTGTCCAACATTGCAGTAGCCTTTGACGTCAAAATGTTTTGGAATTAATTATTGGAACTACTGGATATCTGGTTTCCCATACGAGAATTTGAGAATTACGGCTTGATGTAAACCTTCTTCCATGGTGAAAGCATTCACCTCTTCACAGCTGGGGAGAGACGACAGCATCCATGGCTTCTCAAAACGTCACCATATCGTTGACGCGAAGAACAGAAATTCAAGACGAAATCTGGAAAAATCTGATTGCTACAGTAACTCGCGAGATAGAATTAAGATCTGGAAAAATTGGTTATGAATTTGAGGATGAAACCAATTGGGGATTGTGAGCAAAGAGAAGATGCTTCTTTTGACACTAAAATTGAGTGGAATTATCTTGATTTCTGACTTGTGAGCTTTCTAATTTCTCTGACTGATCTAATACATTACACAACTAGTCAAAAATAATATTTTCCGGGAAACTATGTTACAGTACATAACAGATTCCCTGCACTTGTGTCGTTCATATTTAAACATGCAGTCAGATCATGTTTCTTTGTTATGAAAGTGAGAATTTTTGTTCTATTACTTTTGTTCCTTTGAAAAAGTAATGAAAGTACAATCAGATCATATTGTTTCATTCAGAAGTTTAGAACTGTTAATAACTTTATTTATCCTCTTTTGTAGGTGGAGTAGATCAAGAAATGGATGATGAAGAAGAACTAGACCTTACTTGAGATAGAATTTTGAATTGTTATAGATGAATGTTCTAGGAATCTTTTATTATCAACATTTTTGAAACTTACTTTCTTGAAATGTACTAAACTTATGCACTTGGGGTAGAACATTTGCTTTATGGATATTATTTGCTTGATGGATAATTTTATATTATTAATAGTTTTATTTTATGATGTATTTAAAATTTGGTGTTATTATTATTTTGTTATATATAGAAATATTAATTTATAACAGGTGCTATATTTTGGTTTTAACTGAACTGATATAATAGCCTACTAGAACTGTTGCAATATGACACAAATGGTGTTCCAGTAGACAATGTAAACCGTTGCAATAGGTTCTATAAAATGTTCCAAATTGATCTATAAACCATTCCAAATGCAAACATAACCGTTGCGATAGCTTAAAGAAACCGTTGCCATATCCATACATAACTGTAACAATAGCTTACATAAGTGTTGCTTTAAATAATATGGTAACGGTTAAGAACCGTTGTATAAACAATATAGTAACGGTTTTAAACCGTTCCAATTGAAAAGGATAAACGTTCCAACAGAGAAGGGAAAACCGTTGCGATAGACGTATCTATAGGCATGGTGATGCAAACCGTTGCAAGAACCGTTCCAATAGACCTATGGGCACGCGAGCTGATGTAACGGGTTGTAAACCGTTCCAATATACCTATGGCAATGGTTTAATAGTCTGTGGGGACGGTTTTTCAACCGTTACCATAGACTAATTTTTCAGTAGTATAGGGTTGTGGCTCAACCCTAGTGTGGGTAATTGATGGGTGTTGCCATCTAAGGTTAGATTGATATTGAGTGTTTGTTATTTGGGTTGATTTTATGTTTTAATTAAGGATTGGTGTTTGCAAACACTGATTCTAGCTTTGTGGGTTTAACTCTTCTTGAGAAAGAGAGTCCATGACCCCAAAATTGACCCAACAAGGAATTGGGATGGACCCATGAGAAATGGTAGTCCCAATTAACGGGTTAAATCTCGAGAGAGTAATTATCCTACATGAACTCTAGTTGCTTGGTCTAATTGGCCTACCCAATTGGTCTCGAGAGAGTCAATTGGGAAAAATCACTCTCTCTACCGAGAGGTGTGAGAGTAGGTACAATTGTGCAACGGTTATAGCATAAGCCCCAAATATGTCAATCTATCCTTAGTAACATCTACCCGTTAATTAGCCACCTAGGCAATGCCACGACCCTAGTGCCTTTCTTCCCATTAGATACAACTTAGCAATATTCTCGTAGCATAATTTAGTTTTAATCATTAGTTTTATAATAGTAGATATAAAAATTAAAGAAAACCAAAAATGTTTGAAGTGACATTAGAAGTACAAACACATCTCTAGACTAGACAGACAATACAACTCCACTACTAGCTCCCCGTGGAAATTCAATCCCGAACAACTATTCGGGTAAAAGCTATTGCGACCCGCTCTTCCTACCTCAGTGTAGCGTCGAGTCGGCAGCGATCACTTTTTGGCGCCGTTGCCGGGGAGCTTATGGTGTTGACTATCTTTTTGGTTAGTTTTGTGTTTTGCTTCTCTTTCCTTCTTGTTTACTAATTTTGTTTGTGTCGATTACTCAGGTACTATGGCTGTAAATGCAAACGACCCTCTTGGAAATGTGCTAGCGGGGGAGGAGGTTGAGGATATTAGAGATGAGGAGGTGCCTCTTGTACCTCCAGGACCACGAAGAGGCCGCCAGGCCAATTCAAATGACAACGTCCCAGACCCTCCTCCGCCACCTCCAAGAGCGGTTCCTCGGGTGCTGCCGAATCAAGGATATGCAAGTTCCATTGTTCCTCCCCGAATCCAGGCGGGGAACTTTCAAATCACAAATGTTATGTTGACCTTGCTCGAGCAAAGAGGGTATTTTACGGGCGCCTCCGATCAAAATGCCTACAAGCACTTGAAGGGGTTCGTAGATACCTGCTGGGGGAGCAAGCAAACAACCATGTCCGAGGATACATTGAGATTGAGGCTTTTCCCGTTCTCTCTTCGGGGTAAAGCGTTGGATTGGTTAGAAAGGCTCCCCAATCATTCTATCACCACATGGGATGAATTGGCGGACAAATTTATTGCCAAGTTCTTTTCTCCAAGTCATATGGCGGCTCTTCGGGATGAGATTCTAGCTTTAAAGCAAATGCCAACGGAACCTTTGCACGAGATATGGGAAAGATATAGAAAAATGGTGAAGGAGGGCCCTAATAACGACACGACCGAGGCGATGACTACAACTTAACTTTTAGTCGGGCACTACAACACCACGAATCAGTGACTATTGTACGAAACCAATTAGCCGGTGGGAACTTTATGAAACTTTCTTACCAAGAGGCATGTGATGTACTTGATGAAATGGCCGACACCTCTTCGGCATGGCAAAGCTGAGCAAATGTACCCTAAGGTGACCCCACGGTCATCCATTTGCACAAGGAATTGAATGATCATGGCCAATCTATTACCGAGCTTACAACAACTATGAATCAATTGGCGAAGGCTCAATTGCAACAAGTCCAAAACCCGCGCCAAGTCAATGCAATGGAAGGTGTCTCTATGCTAAAAAGGAGGC